AATAGATAAATAAATAAATTCCTTTTTCAAAAATCCAAATAGGGAATTTTACTTTTGAAATATTTTTGGAATCTTCCATATATCCTTAATTCTTTTAAAATTGAAATTCCAAAATTAATTAACGAAAATTAATTAATTTTTTAAATTTGAATTTAACATATTTTTCGGAAACAAATAAAATATTTGTTTACGTACTTATTTTCCATTCATTTTTTTCCTCTCTTCCCGAAATTCTAAATTTGAAAACTTTGTTAATAGATTTTTAATTCGAAAAATTTTACTCCCAAAATTCCAATAAATCTGACAATATCCTTTTCTACCCAAATTTAAATTACGAAATTAATTAAATTAATTATTTTCAGAAATTAAATTTAAATCCATCTATTTTGTAAATTAAATTCGAAAAAAACTTGAGGATTATCTTTATTTTTAAATTTATTAATAAATAAAAAAGGGGAATCCCCTCCACCCTCCACATGCCACCACGCCAAACCAAGAACTCCCAACGTGCTGCCGCCGCCGCCACCGCTGCTGCTGCATCTTCCACCCCCGTTCAGGCCACGTCCTCCACCCCCTCTTCCCCCGACATGGCCGCATCCTCCATCAACATGTCTGACATCCGCACGGACTCAGTCGATAGCATCGCCCGCAACCTCGCCGGCGAACAACCACCAGCAAACACCGCCACCCCCGACCTCTCTGCCATCCTCCACGATCTCAACACCTTCCAAACCTCCGTCACCACATCTCTCGACGACATAAAGGCCAACGTGTCATCTTTATGCGACCGTGTCACCACGCTCGAAGGGACCACTCCCCCCATCACGGTCGTCACCACCATGCAAACCACTCCAACCCCCACAGTCTAAACCACTCCAACCTCCACAACCGCCTCTAGCAACACCCCCCCGCCGACCGCCTCCACTCCTACCACCTCTCCCGCCATATCCACCAACTCTTCAATCCCCACCATCGTTCCGTTCCCTCCACCTCCTCCCTCATCCGGTGCATCCAGCACACSGCCTCATTCCTCGCCCATCAAAGTCACCCCTTCCCCCCCCCCGCACTCCCAAACCCTCTCCCAACCCATCATGACCACCTCCACCATCCCCACCATCCGTCCCACCTATTCCCAAGTCACCTCCGGGGCTTTCCCCGCAATGCCACAACTTCCACCCAACTACCTGCTTGAGGACAACAACCAAATCGACCACACYTGCTACGACACCGCCCCCGATAACCTCAGCTTCAACACCCTCGCGCAGATCGTTCA